ATTCATATACCTTTTATTAATTATCTAAAATCACACATTTGTTATCATACAATTTAATTCCTTTCTTTATTATTCTCTACTCGGGTATTTCTCCACCACAGAAATTTTCGCGTATTCAAAACATAGAATTACATTAAGGAAATTTACATTTCAGTTTCTCATTTAAAAAAAGAAAACTGAACAAAAACTTTTCAACTTACCAGTGTGGAGAAAGCAGGGACGGCGGCTGAAGACTAAATGCCAGCACCAGGAGCTGACTCAGGTATTTATAGGCGGGAGGCTGCGCGGGCGACGATGTGCACGGACTGTCTTGTTCCTGGGGTTCTTGTTCCCCTTGGAGTTGTAAGTCTATTTCATGTTCTCTTTTAACTGTAAAAAATTAAAAAAATGTGTTCTCGTTTCTCTTGTAAATCACATGATTACGGTCTCTCTTTCTTAAAATATTGGGATAAATTTTCGTTCGTGAATATTTTACTAAAAATTATATGTAATTAATTTAATACATTCATGTACAGGTGATAAACATTCTAGTCTCCTGAGGGGGAGGAAATTAGCAGGGGAAAGCGCCAAGCCATTACGACTATATAGCTCTTGGAATGGGTCTGGATAAGGATATGGGATGAGACAGGGGGAAGGAATGGTGCCCAACCACTTGGGTGGTCGGGGTTTGAACTGACCTGCATGAACGAGACCGTCGCTCTACCGTCCAGCCGAAGCAGTTGGACTTAAGTCTTCTGAGAAAAAATAAATTCCTGTATATGATCCAAGCGTAATTTAATCTATTTCTTTGTGATAGTGTCTATTATATCCGCACAAATGTTATAAGTTTTGCCTGAACAACAGACTTTTTCGTCTAAATGGTTTTCCAAAACCAAGTACCAAAAAGGTACTGGTTAACGAGCCACAATGTATATATAATGTATATTTCACAACTATATATCTTCAGGAATAGTTTTAATGTTACGAACAAACGAGGCAAACTCCTGTAACAAATATAAAGATAAAAATTTAGTCTCAGGATTATATTTTATTATAAGAACACAATTAAGGGTGTTTTACAGTCCAAGAAGATCTCAAGATTAGTATTGTGTATCAACACTTGACGAAGGGATGCACGTGTCAGTTCAGGAGTGGAACTGTCTCGCACAGTGCAACCTTTCCTCCTCCTACAAAGAATGTCACTTTTCGATCGTATGCGTTACTTAAAGCCAACAATGTTGTTGTTGTTGATTTAGAGGCTACGACGATCGTGGAATCAGATGCGCCCCGGCGTACCCGGTATCGGTTAATCGCGAAGCCCGGAGAGGTGAAACGCAAGCCAAATCGCGAAACAAGGGACGCCAATCACTAGAAACTAAAATGCCATGCGGCAAAGAAACGCACAGACGGGCAGATGATTGGGGAGCCCCAGGATTCCTTCAGGGTGACAAGCACCGGCCCCGCCCCACACAGAGAACACTGCGTAGCAAAGCCAAAAACTCGGCCCCCAACTAAAACGCAAAAGTCATCCAGTGCCCTCCGGCAGAGCAGACGCCTGCCGCCCACCACGTCTGAGGGCACACCAGAGCCCACCAAGACCCACCAACCCCCGGCACCTCTCGGCCAAGCCGGCCCCCAAACACCGTCACCCCCGCTGGCAGAACCAGCCAGAACACGTCAAAAAATTTCTATCAGTCCCGTGACCCAAGGTAAAGCCTACAATTGTCGTACCAGAAAATGGAAGCGGCTCGCAGAACTGACCTACTGTCCCGTTTTCTGTTTTGGGTTCTCCTTTGGGTCCATCCCTTCCCAGTGCTATATAGTCGTAAAGGCTTAGCGCTTTCCATTGATAGTTCCCTTCCCTTGACGTTGGGAAACCTTAGAAAGACGGGCTGGTATATCACCGCACGTTCAGGGAATTAAGTGTCACTACAGGGATAATACGGCCTTTTGTAGCACATCAATACACGCATAAGAGATATGAGTGCCAATGCAGCCATTTGACAGTATTACATAATATATCAATTCAGGTGCCCGGGGATGTGTCTGTACAGAGGGGGGAACTGTCTTACATCTCTGGATACTAATTGTTGAACAATTTCATCGTTTATTAAATGAACAAGAACAAGGAACACGACTACATGATGTTTAAATGTCAATGTTTCACAGTACAAACCTCTGAGAGGCACAGGTTTCCAAACACAATACCTACAAACACGTTATTCATTACATCCACACAGTTAAACAGCTGAGAATGTTTTTACATTTTCACATCAATTTTCGTTTGGGAGACCTATTGACGAAATAGGGCTTTTGTGAATTAATCAACTATGATATATATATAAAGCATGTGATAGTTGCCATTTTTGTTTATTTCAATACAGTATTGAGTTGTCTCTTCTTACAAGTATTAGATTTCTGTTCACATAAATATATACTTTAATTATTGTCTTCCTTATTTATATTATATTAGTTTGCTCCATTTTCCTTTAGTAAATTAGGAACAGTGGGTAAGGAAAATGTAAATATATGTTTGCCAATATTTATTGCCACATTAAATTTTAGATTAACAGAACTAAAGAATAACAAATAATTGTAAAAAATATGAAACTTTCCGATTTATTTATATTCGATTCATCCGCTAAACTTGAACTATTGACACTGGACAGGTGTTACTGAGGCGAGGAGCAGCAGTGGGCGAGGTTCTCCCCCAGCAGGGTGAGGAAGGTGTTACTGAGGCGAGGAGCAGCAGTGGGCGAGGTTCTCCCCCAGCAGGGTGAGGAAGGTGTTACTGAGGCGAGGAGCAGCAGTGGGCGAGGTTCTCCCCCAGCAGGGTGGGGAAGGTGTTACTGAGGCGAGGAGCAGCAGTGGGCGAGGTTCTCCCCCAGCAGGGTGAGGAAGGTGTTACTGAGGCGAGGAGCAGCAGTGGGCGAGGTTCTCCCCCAGCAGGGTGAGGAAGGTGTTACTGAAGCGAGGAGCAGCAGTGGGCGAGGTTCTCCCCCAGCAGGGTGAGGAAGGCGACGCAGGAGCCCACCAGCAACATGTAGAAGGCTCCCTGCAGATGGTTGAGGCTCAGCACCACTTCCTCCCCTTCATCCTGGAAACCATTAATATTGATCACATCAAACTCCTCTAGGGTTTCCCTCATAACAAAGAACTACAGCATAGTGAATAAATGTCAAAATTTTCTTTAACAAGATTTTGTAAGTATGTTTTGGGGACTTTTATTATCACTGCTAACTTATTCACTCTTGTGCTCATGATATCCTCATAACGAACCCAGAATCTGTCAGTGCAGACTACTTATCACATGCCTCTGTATGACTAGCCATCCTCTGTGATGGGGATGTTTTAGCATCACGTAGCTTTTAGCTTTTTGACACGCTGTACTCCCCTTCCATATAGTCTAGGGTAGCTGCACAAATGCAGATGTACCTAATGTATTAATAAAAAAAGGATCAGTTGGACTTATAGGAAATTTACCTGGTTTGCGTTTCCCAGGATGGTCGTTGTGTTGATCATGGCAGCTTTCCTGTCCTCCCTTACCCGCCTGGCCATCACATCTGCAGTCCAGTAGGTAATTATGCCAGCAGCTTCCAGTCGAGTCATTAGTTGTGTGAAGCGTTGATGAAATGGTGCGCCCTTTCTGTTAAGGAGAGGGAAGGGAAGGGAACTATTAAGAGAAAGCGCAAGCTCTTATAACTATATAACACTTGAAAGAGATAATGATAAGAATTTGGGATTGGACGGGGGGGGGGGGGGGGAGAGGGGAAGGTATAGTGCCTTTCCCACGAATGAATGAATGATGATTTATGAAGGACATGAAAGATTATTATTATTATTATATGTATTATTTTGTGCTTAGTGTGTAGTAATTATCAGTGCAAAAGAATCAATGCATAATTACATGTGACCAGTAATATATACTTTAAAGAATTCGATTTTAAAAGGAAATTAAACCTTTAATTTTTACCAAAATTTAATTTGAAATTCATTCCGAAACTGTGTTTACTAAGAATTAGAATAACAACCAGGAATGCTTGCCTAATGCCCCACCCAAAGGCAGCTAAGATCGGAAAGGCCTTGTTGCTGATGTAGAGGGGAGTGTTGCCTCTCACGTCCGAGTAGCGAGTCTCAATGATGACGGTAACGTAGTTCTTGTAGCTGATGAAGGAGAACCCTCCTGCCAGCACTTTTCTCAGAGCGTCGTCCACCTGCATCACCTTGGGAAAAAGTTTTCGTTATTTGTTTTTTTTTAGATTTCTATAAATAACGACGCTGCAGTGATAGTGAACCAATAAATTTATAGACAAAACTTAACAGAACGAATGTAATTTCAATTGCATACAGCACTCACTTCCATTTTGTTGTATATATGTCTGAATACAGGATTGGGATGCTTGCTAAAGAAATCAACGGCTGCTTCTGTTAGCATCCACGGATCAATTCCCCACTTCCAGTGAGGCTGATTCACCAGGTCCTCTAAAGTCTCAAGTGGGCGCGATCTTTCCTTCACAGTGAGGTGCGCCATCAAGGACGAAGAAAACCCTGTAGTGATGATCAAGCAGAACACAAGCCACCATCCCACCAACATCTGTAGACATGCGTAAATAAATACTTGGGAAGAAAGTCAGAAGCCAAAACACTAAACACCGTTGAAGATGGATATACTCAACAATATCACACATGATGGCATCAAACATAACTTTCCAAAATCTGTAAAATTGTACAGAAGTTTCTTGGTGATTTCCACTAACATCTCTCTAGTAAAGGATGAAGTGTGATTATGTAGCCGAATGTACATATTACTGATTTTTTAAGAGGATATGTGTCCCGAGACATATTAAATAATTGTTTAGGTTTTAATATTTTCATTAACCAAAATTTAATAGTATCTCTCGTCCGTTTCAGGTTTATGTTTATGAAGTCATTAAGTGTGTGTTTATCCACTTTGCCTAGTGCTGAGCGACAGTTGTGTAATTACTTGAGTCTCTTTCACTGTAGGTTTTTACTGTGGAAACAGAATTGTTAGTTAGTGTGAATTTGTTTGACCTTAATTGGTAGCTGAATAATTCTTACGTTGAAAATTACTGTCTGCAAAGAAGGGACTCGCATAAGTTCCTTTTTTTTTTAAAGAGATAAGCGTATGGAATTTTTTCCAGTTATATTATTCAATTACTCACATATAACATTTGATTTAATTAATTATTAATTTATATTAATTAATTCACTTAGTATATTATCAGACTTCTATGATAGCTTAGGCATAGTTAGATGAATATTGATATCACGTGCTATATGAAGGACATATAGCATAACATGTTTCAATATCATAATATTGAAATATAATGTCCTTGAAACATGATATTAGGATTGACATGAAGAGGTGACTAAGATAATAATTTGCATTATTTTAGTCACCACTACTTATAAACAAATAATTAATATTCAGTAAGGCAGGTGGAGGGAGACACACCAAGCTCTGTTCACCACTGACGCACATAACTTCCCAGCCAGTCCTCACACAATTTTTTTTATTAATACATGAGGTACATCTGAATTTGTGCAGCTACCCTAGACTATATTAAGTGTGTACAGCGTGTCAAAAAAGCTAACTACGTGGTGCTAAAAATTTCCCATCACACAGGATGGTTAGTCATACAGAGGCATGTGATAGGCAATCTGCACTGGCAGACTTCGGGTGCATTTTGAGGATATCATCAACACAAGAGTGAATAAGGTAGCAGTGGTAATAAAAGTCCCCATCTCGCAGGATGGTTCGTCATACGGGGCTATATGTTTAGTAGCCTGCACTGGTAAATTTTGGGTGCAATATGAGGATATCCTCAAGAATACGAGAGTGAATAAAGAAATTGCAAAGCTCCAGGTACCTTATGCCAACTGGTCTGAAAGGTCTAATAACTGGGCATTCGGTGATGTACTGTGGGAGATCATGTCGCAGTTCCTGCTCACAGAGTTTGCACCTGGAGTTCACAGGATTTGGAGATCCGTCACCTGTAGCCACCTGGCACAGGTAACGGTAACCCAACATGATCCTTGCAACCACTGTGTCACACAGTCTGGTGGACGTTTTGTGCTGCCCATAGATATAGGTTTCAGATCTGAACAAATCATAGCTTTTAATACTAGTACTTTCAGGTCGTTGGGAGTCAGTAATTTCTTTCCTATCAGACCTGAGTGTTTGAACCAATACAGTTTTGACAGAAGAGATGGGAATACCTAAATCTAATTCAACTTCATCTTTGTTGCACGCTAATTTGGCTGCAATGTCTGTCTCATTATGATGGGTTATATTTATGTGGGAAGGTATCCATATAGAAGAGATTCGAGACCCTTTACTCAGTGCAGCTATTAGATCATTTACAATTGGTAGTATGAGGTTCTTGCTGTCGATCTTCCAAGAGAAGTTTTCGATTGCTTGAAGAGCAGACTTTGAATCACAAAATATTATTCCTCCTCCAATGTTTTTTAATTTACGTGTAGCTAGTTGTAATGCTGCTAGTTCTGCTTGTGTGGCGGTCAGCCAGTTGTTTAACTTGACACTGGCAGTCTTTGCGCAAATATTATTTCTATAAAACCTACATGCTGCTGCAGTCCGTCCAGTAGAGGATTGGACTGAGCCGTCGGTGTAGACACAATGCTCGTGAGATCTTAAATTCTCGATGGAGGAGGCAATTGTTTCAAGTGTGACAGCTTTGAGAAGAGCAAGATTCTCATTTTCTTTCTTGGTGATAGGTGTGTATGATACTGCAGTCCGTCCAGTAGAGGATTGGACTGAGCCGTCGGTGTAGACACAATGCTCGTGAGATCTTAAATTCTCGATGGAGGAGGCAATTGTTTCAAGTGTGACAGCTTTGAGAAGAGCAAGATTCTCATTTTCTTTCTTGGTGATAGGTGTGTATGATACTTGAATGGTGGGGTACAGATAAAGAGGAATATCAGAGACAGGTAGATTGCATTTAAAATGAATGTTGAGTTTAATGAGATTATAGGCATTTTTTCTCGGCCATTTATAATAAAAGGAGTGAGTTGATATGTCGGCACCAGTCAATAGGGTGTTAACAGCACTAAATAATTTGTCTCTGAGCAATGCAGGAGATGTAGGGTCTCTCATGACTTTAAAGCAAAAGGTAGTGTTGAGTTGCATTATTATCTCTAGTATGCTTAGAAGCTTTAGTTCTTAACTCATGTTGATTCTTGTGCATCTTGGAGCACCAAGAATTATCCTCATGGCTTCATTCTGTACTACTTCAAGTTTGTCCAACACAGAGGCGGGGAAATTAATTAAGTGCAAAGCATTATAATCAACGAGAGATCTAACAAACATCATATAGAATAGTCTAGCATATTTAATATTGATACCAATATTCTTACCAGTAAGTGTTTTCAGTGGTTTTAGTCTTACTTTTAACCTACGGTGTAGATCGTTTACAATGTCACTGTTGATACCAACTCCAAGGTATTTGTGCTGCCCACACGTTTCAATGTTCTGGTTGTTGACCTTGAAAGTTATAAGGGCATGAGTTTTCTGTTGGGAATGAAGAACTCTGGATTTAGTTATAGAGATAACAAGACCACATTTATTGCTTTTAGCAGCTGGTGAATCAAGTAGAGCTTGCAGTCTAGTTTGGGTATTTGCAACAATGCATATGTCATTGGCATAACAGATAACGGCTTCGTCAGGTAGTGTAGGAATATTAATTGTTAATTTGAGCATCAGAACATTGAACAGTGTGGGACATAGCACTCCATCCTGGGGTGTACCCAACTCAAAGGGTGCACAAAGTTTACTTTTGGCCCCCATGAAAAAGACTGAGGTGGTTCTCTTACTCAGGTAACCACTGAGCCATGTCAACAATCTTCCCTTAACTCCAAAAGTAAGTAAGTAATTATCAAAAGAAGACACCAAACCGGGAAGGCTATGTAGCACCATCAAATATGCAAAATAATCAGAGGGCGCTAAATATCACCAAGGATGCCAATACGAGAACAAAAACGCATAAGGCAAACGATATCAAAAGTATCCGAGTCACCAAGAATTCTATCGAGGGACAGGTGACCGCGAGGGGCGGTCGGAAAGCAAGCTACACGCTCGACCTGGAAGTCAGGACATTCAAAAAGGACATGCACGACCGTAAGAGGGACAATGCAACTAGGACAATAAGGAGCAGGGCGGCGCTCCATCAAGTGACCATGGGTTAAGCGAGTATGGCCAATACGCAATCTCGCCAGAGCTGTTTCCCACCGCCGGTTACGGTGGAAGGAGGACGGCCACGAGGAAACACAACATTTAAGAGTAACTAGCTTGTTACCAGTAACAGACAACCAAGAAGCCTGCCAACGGGTAAGGACTGAGGAATGGACAACCAGGTAAAAGTCGGAATACGGAATGCCTTTACGAGAGATGGGACAAGAGCGGACAGCTTCCTTGGCGGCAGCATCCGCACGCTCATTTAAAGACACACCAATATGGCTGAGAACCCAACAAAACTCAACCGACTTAAATTTACTGTGAACAAGAAACAGCCAATGCTGGATCTCGACAACTACTGGATGAACCGGATTAAAGGACCCGAGAGCCATGAGGGCACTACGAGAGTCAACAACAACTACAAAGGAAGACTGACAACGAGAAAGCAGGAGACGAAGAGCATAGAGAATAGCATAAAGTTCCGCTGTAAAGATGCTAGTCTCCGGAGGCAAGCGACACATATAAGTGCGATCAGGAAAAACAACAGAGTAGCCAACACCGTCCGCTGACTTAGACCCATCGGTGAAGACAGAAACGGAGCGGGAGTGAGAAGAAAAGTGCTCGAGGAAAAGGCGTTTTAGAACCGTAGGAGGGGTAAAAGCTTTAGTGATACGGGTCAAGGATTTACAAAACCGCGGAAGAGGGACCCTCCACGGGGGCAAAGAAGGAACAACACGAGGAGAAACATCAGAAATACGAACGGAAAGAGAATCCTGTAGACGAGATAACCGGACAGAAAGAGGGAGGTGGTGAAGAGGAACAGGAACCGCAGGAGGGGTAAAAGTTAAAGCACGACAGAGGCGAGAGGAAGGATGTTGCAAGGACCGCGCAAGATAGCGAAGACAGTAGCGATCACGGCGGTCCTGGAGAGACAGGAAGCCAGTGTCAACATACAAGCTAAGGATGGGAGTTGAACGAAAGGCACCAGAACTGAGGCGCAACCCAGTATGGTGCAAAGCATCAAGACGGCGAAGAGTAGAAGGAGAAGCAGACGAGTAAGCAGGGCAACCATAATCGAGCTTAGACAGGACGAGAGAGGAATGTAAAGCAAGGAGAGTGCGCCTATCTGCCCCCCAAGAAGTATGGGACAAGACCCGAAGGAGGGTAAGGGCCTTAGAGCACTCAACACGGAGGTAAGAGATATGGGGAGACCAAGACAAACGAGTGTCAAGGAATAACCCCAAAAGCTTCACGGAATCTTTGTATTCAAGGGGATGACCATAAAGTGACAAAGAGGGACGAAGAACAACCCGTTTCCGTGTAAAAGTCATGGCACAAGTCTTAGAAGTAGAGAACTTGAAGCCATGATCTGTGGCCCAAGA